CTACTTGTGGCGACTCTTACCGTCCATGCTATGCAATTAAAAGATTCAACGTAAGTATTAATATATATGTTTATATTACAAAAAATCAGTGAATTTATATAGAACCATACCCATTGCTTTCGTGGACTGGCATACCACCTCGGAGTGGTTTGGCAATGCGACCGAAACTTAGGCCGGAAAGGGAATTCGATTTTTGGGCTAGTAATTTTTATAATCGTTAATAAATTGTTAAAAATATTTTTATTATGTGAATCATAATAATAATGGTTATACATACATCGTGCTTGTTCCAGACGTTCTCGGACTGCTTGTAATTGTGCTTCGAATCTTTTAAAGTAAAGTAAGTTAGTATACCGATTTAGAGAATTTAAATATAATATATTTTCACATATTTTGACGCAACTTACTTTTGATTTTGTGTGGTTAATTTTTCTTGTGCATCTTGTAATAAGGCTTCCAGAGCCTGGATACGTTCATTACGGGCAAGAAGTTTTCGCTCTGCGATAGCTACTTCTTTCTTAAGAGATGAATTTTGCTCTACTAGCTATAAAAGTAAAATTGGAAAAAAAATAAATTTTTTTTTTTTTCAGCATAGAATTTTTTTATACTAAATTCAGGATTAATGTATGTTGAGAGAAGCTTACTTGTTTCTGTACATTTGTGAGTTGTTCTAAATTCCTTTCTAAGAATGCCATCTTTTTTTGTTGTGCTTTATTATTGCTATTACGCAAAACGTTGTTATATTGTTCTCTTGTCTCATCTAATGAGATTTCAAGTTCTACAACTTTTTCACAACGATTTTGCAAATCTCGCATAAGAGCTTTCTTCATGACGTCAAAATCGGCCAATTGTTGTGCCATTGTCTTGCGGATACGTTCCATATCTTTTTCTTTCTCCGCAACGGTCTTTTGTCCTTCAGATTTTGTTTCCTTATCATTGATAGCACTCTGCGTATTTACAAATAGATGAGATATGACATAAGTGATCAAACAAGAATTAATATGAAAAGATTCTCACCGTTTTGTCATTCGGAAATACTTTTACCTGTAATTCTTCATTAGCTCTCTTCAAATCAGCAAGAGCGCTACAAGACGTTTAATTATAGTATATGTTAGTAAACTCATAAAGGAGACGTGTTAAATAAATATTATTCGGAATATGAATTAACTAACAACCAACCTATTTAGTTTGTGTAATTCTTCATTCTTCTTTTCTAATTCTTGTTTTAATTCATCAATTTCTTTTTGTTGAACTTCTTTCTTAGCGACAAATGATGCTTCCAATTTGCCCTTAAAAATATCAATAATAATTTATTAATTGATAATTGATTATTATATACAGTAATTAAAAACATCGTGAAAAATAACTTACTCTTAATTCTGCTATCGTCTCGGTGATGTCTATGTTATTGTTTGCCTCCTCTTCAGCAATTGTCTTATCTAAAAATTTATATTTCAAAGCAATTATGTATATGAATTTATTACTTGAATAAAGTTATCGTTTGTATTATATATATTCTTACCTAACAATTCTTCGTATTCAAGTTCAAGTGTGGTCAAGCGAATTTCAAGTTCATCTCTCTTCCTTGTCAAATGTTCATTTTCATAATGTAATTCGTTAATTGTTTGTTCATGTTGTGCAACTAAATTCTTCGAATCGGCCAATTCGCGTCGTAATGTTGAAAGTTCTTCCACCGTAAGAGTTGTATTGTTCTCACCACCGATAGTCTCGAGCTTATGTAAGGTGTCCCGAATTTGTTGTTCCTTTTTTGAGATAACGCCCGATGGATCAAGCTCGGCAAGCATAGCAGCCATTTTCTCTTGTTTCTTTTGCTCTTTATCACCTTCTTTTTGAGCAAGTCTGAGATCTGAAAGTGATTTCTACATAAGGACAATAAAATTTATTTAATAGGGATCCATTAACTTTATCAAACATAGTGGGAAAAGATACTTGATTTACCTTAAGTGCATCTAATTCGGTGGATAATTCCACATTAGCTTCACGCAAACTGTCCATTGTAATGGAACCTTCTTTATTTTCATACGTAACCTTCTCTAATTGCACCTTAAGATCATTGAGCTCGGTTGCCATTTGTTTATTTTCCTGTTGAAAATACAAAAGATTCATATAAGTATATCATTTTTTGTGATCCAATTTAGGATCATGATGACTTTTCTGAACCGATATGTTTGGTGAAAACATTTAATTATCTACGATTTTCTAGGTTATCAGGCTAATTTACCACTAATATTTGATTGATTAGTGATTTCAGACTCAATCAGCTAATTGGTTCAGAAAAAAAGTCATTTGGCATTTAACTCAAAGTCAGCATGATCTAGGCTTAAGCAGTTATTGGATAGGAGCATCTTTTATACAATAATATAAAATACCTTTGTGATCGTTTCTTCTTGTTCCTTATACGATCCAAGCTCTTCTCTCATTTCGGACAACATTTTCTCTTGAGCTGCTAATGCTGTCTCTTTTTCGGCAATTTGATCCGTAAGCTCATTTTCTCTTTTTAAGAATTCTTCTCGCTCATCTTTCTCTAATATAGGTACAGGTGTACCCGGTCGAGAATCCATTTCTTTCTTTGCAGCTTCAATTGCTGGATTAGCTGGATTAGCTGGAGTAGTTGGTGTTGGAGGTTGAGCTGGAGCTGAACCAGCTTTGTCCATGGAGGCCCATTTTTCTTTTGGAACCGAACCACCAGAACGCCAAACACCGACTTCTCCCTCCAGAGCTGAAATATATTGTTGGAAGCTAACAGCCTCGCTTTTAGCTTTCTTGAGAAGTGCTTTAAGTTCAGCAGGACTAAGTTCAGCGTTGACTCTGGCTTTATTCTTAATACTCTTGGCCCTATAATATACAAAAATATAGTTGGAGTTTTGCTAACATTGAATACAACATAAGTTAACAATACTATTAAAGGTGTTACGTACCTCATACCAAATCTTAATGTACCTAGCGTTTCAGCTTCATTGAAAGATGATGGAGAACAATTTATAATCAAAGTTGTTCTGGAGTTACCACCAAGGGATTCTTGAAGAATTCTAGTAAGCTTACTGTCACGATATGGAATATGTGTTGACTTGAAGAAAAAGCAACGATTGTAACTTGAGCAATGAGAAATAAAGTAGCTAAAGACAAATTAATATTATTATTTCTCATTATTACCTTTCCATCCGTTAAGGCGTTAATTACCATACCCAACGCTGATAATGATTTGTTGATTTTTTTGGCCTCTTCTAGAGTTTGACCAGAAGCACCAGTTTTACCGACCTATTTTCGTGAAATAAAAATCGAGAATTATTAAAAAACTTTTTTTCATATATTAAATTTCATCTTAATTTAAATTACAAACCTTTTCAGAACCTGCCAAATCGACAAGAGATAGTTTACCACTCTTTACACTTCCATCACTGAGATTCTTTTGATTTACAGTAATAACAAAGATTGAATGTGATCGAGAGCTTTCGGCATTCATATCTGTAATTAAAATGTATTAGGTTATTTACTTACATTGTTTAAAGTTAATTATAAAATAATTAAAATGAAAACATACTTGTATAAGCTACAATACGAGCGTTACCACCACGTTTCATTACTTCATACACTTCTTGTACGGAACTGACATAGACCTCCAAAAGACCCTTAACGTATACACCCCTATTCTTTTCTTCATGGATAGGAAGATTGTCGTTTTGGGCTAAAAATATATTAAGAACAAACGTGATCGATGTTAATCTAGGAAATAATTTCATCGTAAACATTATTTTTTTTTTGCATAAACTGAAATACTTACGATTAAGTAAATCACGAATCTTCTCCATATAAATCTCCATATAAGAGACTTTTACGGTATATTCCATTGTGGATGGAGAAGAAATGATACTTTGAAAGATCTGTTCCACAATACGAGGTATAAGACCTTTAAATTCTTCGTTATCCATGTCTCCCTATTAAAGTAATGAATTTTAATAATGAAAGTCAGAGTTCGATCAAATGAATAAATATTCCAAAGTAAATGTAAATTTATTCAACTAACCATCATAGTATGCGTTTTACCGGAACCCGTTTGACCATAGGCAAATACAGTACCGTTATAACCCCCGATGACATCTAGAAAAGAAATTATTCGGTAAATGATCATATAAGTTGTCATCAACAGAAGTAATGTTTTCTTTATGATATATACCATCGACAATAGGTTTTATAGATTCATCAAAAAAGAATTTTTGATGTGTTTCTGGTGGGAATATCCGATCGAATGTGAAGTTTCCTTGAAATTCTTTACCCTGTTATATATATCAGAAAGCAGAAAAGGTGATATAAGAACAAAATCAAGTTGTAATTGATTTACTACATTATGAGAATCGTTCATTCTAATACAAATAATATGTTTATCAAAAAAGTTCAAATACTGACCTCCATACGACATGTTTCGCCATTTTCATCGTAGCTTATAATGGGAACACCACCTTCCCTTATTTCACGAGAATTCTGCGGTCGAAAACGGCACACTACTCTGATATTGTTTCTATTCTCACTCATTATGGTTACCTTCTAATATAAATTGGTAGAAAATAAGAGTCTATATAGTATATCTGTAACGAGATGGAACAAAATGCAAATATGGTCATTTATATAATTATTATTTTCCTCGACATCCTAACTCTAGTAAACTTTTCAGAAGCACGAGATGGAACTTACTGCTCGGAGAATTCCTTGTATAAATTAATCTTATATAAAAGATATCTTATAAATTAATATAAAGTAATCGTAGGGATTTAATTTCAATTTTTTTTTTTTTTTTTTTTTTTTGAATTATAATATATATTACCAAAAATAAATAAAATTAGTAAGTAATATATAATTATTTTTTTTCAATTTTGTGAAGGATATTTTATATATATATAATTTTTTTTTTTTTTTTCTTTTTTTTTTTTTTTTGCTTCGAACACCTGCGAAAGTGCAGGGGGAAATAGAAATTGAGGAGAAACTGTTAAAAAAAGGGATAGTTTCCTCTTCGGCCAATATATTACTGATAAAAGCTTTTATATATAAATATACTTTTGACGTCTGGCCACGATGTTTCACACTCAAGTAATATGACCAAATAAAGTACAAAGAAGGTGGCGGACATTAACCCACAATAGTGAAAAATTATTCTGCGCCCCTTTTTGTTGTTTATCAGAATCCTACGTAATATTATCGATAATTGAACTTCCTCAATAGATGTTGATTCAACAATATCTTCCATTTCCTTTCATCACATTCTTGTTGAAGAGAAAGGATTTTATGTAACGATACTTGGTACCTTTAAGGTTGCCTTCATCCAATTACACTTTAATCAGCATTTTCTTATTAGGTACTATTCCATTGTTGGTGACTATGCAATTTGCAGCATACAGCAACAATAACCTATTCTTATTTGATGTCACTATCTTATGATTTCTTTCTAATACAGTATCGATCTGAGAACGGTTTTAAATAATTATCAGTCATATAAATGAAGGATTTCGGCTTTTTTTTTTGTGTTCCAGATGAAACATTAACGCAGGTCCATTGTATTCTATTGTACGCATGTTAAATACAAGACAAACAAACAAATGATTAAAGAAGTTTTTCAAAATTATGAATTAAAAGATTTTTTTTTCTTTGATAATATAGCTTCAACTTTATAAGCATTTACCCAATCCCAATGGTTGAGAGAATTACAATATTAGCAATGTTCATTGTATAGGAAACACGTCATGATATAACGCAATTCAGTAATAACCACGAAAAAAAAAAGATGTGATTATAACTTAAATTTTTTTTTTTTTTAATTAAGATAAGTGTGTGTGCTAACTAAATCAGCAAAGAAGTTCTATATTAAAATTTAATATGATGATTGATCTTTCTCAATATAGATATTCTACCTAAAATATAACTAGAAAGTCTCACAGGCTGTAAGATAAATATTGATGCACTGACCCGATCATTTGTAATACTGAGATTTCTTTATTTGTAAAATTCAAAATCTGTATCGGCCTTCTTGACATTGGCTTTATATCCCTTTTCTATATCTTTACTAAGAATAACATAACGATTCTTTCGGACAGCTTGCATACCGGCCTCTTGACAGATAGCATGAATTTCGGCACCACTAAGTTTATCTGGTCGAGATATGACTAAGAAAGTATTATGAATTGTAGAATCATTAGGATGTGAATTATAAAATGTATAATTATAATTAAAAAAAAAAAAAAAAAAAAAAAATGCATGTAACATACAATCTTCGAGGTCAACTTCCTCGGAAAGATTCATATTAGAAGTAATTGTAGAAAAGATTAAACGCTTTTGACGTCTATCAGGAGTAGGAAATTCAATCTTTCGATCGAGACGTCCGGGTCTCAGCAAAGCCGGATCTAATGTGTCAGCGCGATTTGTAGCCATAATGACCTATTTAAATAATAAGTTGTAATCTACTAAGCAATTCGGAAACGTCACAATTCGAGTAATTTTTGCTGATGTTTCTTTACCTTCACATTTGATGTTTGATCAAACCCATCCATCTGATTTAATAACTCCAAAAGAATCCTTTGTACTTCACGATCAGCACCAGTTTGCGCATCAAATCGTTTGGTAGCGATTGCATCAATCTCATCGATAAAAATGATGGATGGTGAATTTTCGCGAGCCAATCGAAACACATCACGAACCATACGAGGTCCCTCACCTAAATATTTTTGAACAAATTCGGAGCCGACAACTCGGATAAAAGAAGCAGTGGTATGATGAGCAACAGCTTTTACAAGCATAGTTTTTCCTGTTCCTGGTGGACCATATAACAAAACACCCCTTGGAGGATCAATTCCAATTTGTCTATACAAATCAAAGTGTGTCAATGGAAGTTCTACTGCTTCCCGAATTTCTTGTTTTTGAATGTCAAGCCCTCCAACATCCGAATATGTTACATCAGGCTTTTCATCTGCTCCAAGCATGGCAATGCTACTATCGGCCTCTGGAGGTAACACATCAACTAATGAATTTGAGTGACGATGAAGTGCTACTGAAGAGGACGGTTTTAATAATTCACGATCAATTGTGCTGAGAATTCGAACAACATAATTAGATCCTGTCGTAGAGCCTACAATTCCTGTGTGTTGATCGATCGGTTCCAAGAATTGTCCAATCACCAAAGGTACGGACTGAATTCTTTTAACTTCTTCTTGAGCCCGGATTAATTCACGTTTTAAATTCTTTTGTTCATCTTTTATGTACTCTTCTTGCAACTCTAAAAATTCGAGATGTCTTTGAAGTTTTTTAAGTTTTGTGTATAAATCCTCTTCATTTAATTCTTCAAGTATTTCGCTCGTCTCTGTAGTGATGGGAATCGTCTCCTTCAAAAAATGAAAAGGATATGACAAAACGCGTTTTTCCGTAAGTTTTAAACGAACGCTACGAAAAAAATATTCTTTAAAATAATCGAACTGGGTAAACAAACCTCAGGTTTGATCGCTATGCCGATTTCTTCCATTGGAAATAAAAATAATTATCTTTTTATTAATTGAAAAAATTTCGATTTTTTTATTATGGAGAATGCATTGCGTCATCTGAAATTTTTTTGTTACACGACGTTTATGATTGATTATATAATTAGATATTTAGATCTTATCATAAAAAATTAATTTTTTTTTTGTTTTTACACGCTTTCACAATGACGAAGAATAAAAAACGAGAAAAGAATTTAAAACGTGAATTAATCCGGGCTCAAGAAGAAGTTAAAAGAATTCAGTCCGTACCTTTCCGAAGAAAAAGGACGTAAAAATCACTTTAGACGAACGTTTCGCTCATATGCTAACTAATAAAGAGTTTAGCGATACTCGTAAGTTTATTGTTGTTACTCAGAGTTTAAATTTATTTTGTTCTCATTATAATATAATTATCTTTCCTTTAAGCTAAGGTTGATAAATATGGGAGACCGATTTCATCAGATAAAGTTGCTAAAGAACTACAGCGATATTATAAATTAAGGGATGACGAGTTTAAAAGTAAAAGCGAATCCTCAGAAAGTGATGAAGAACAGAATCATGCGACTACAGAGGAAGAGACAGACATTGAAAATAATGATTTACCGGCCTTTGACCACGCTAGAGGTGAAGGTGCTTATGAGTCGTCAGATAACGAAGTAGAAAACGAAGAATTAATTGAGCAAGAATCCGATGAATATCATGAGGAGGTTCCATTAGGAGACGAAACTCATCGACTTGC